TTTTCCTTCTTTTATCACTCTCCGTCACTATCAAGAACGTCTACAATTAATTTTTTTATTATTTGGTCTTTGTAATTAATTATGGTATCTATTGTCGAATCTGTAAATCATTATAATCAACAAAACGATCAATCGGCGTATAATAGTCAAAAAGATTTCTTATTTCTTGATTCTAATAACACCTCTTGGGCCGATGCCCTTCCTCAAAAACAAGGTCTTTATGATCCCGATTATGAAAAAGATTCTTGTGGTGTCGGTTTCATCGTTCACATCAGAGGCGCTCCCTCTCACAAAATCCTTAGTGATGCCAGAGATGTTCTCTGTAACATGACTCATAGGGGTGCCGTAGGTTCTGATGCTAGAGACGGTGATGGCGCTGGTGTCATGACCGGAATTCCCCACGAGTTTTTCCATCAGGAAACTACTAGATTGGGTATCCATTTACCTCCTCAAGGTCAATACGCTGTTGGTAACGTGTTCTTTAAACCTGAACATGCTGTTACCGAAGAATGTAAACTGATTTTTGAGCAAACCGCTAAAAGTTTAAACCTGAAAGTTTTGGGTTGGCGTGAAGTCCCGAAAAATGATTCCATTCTCGGTCCCGCTGCTAAGTCTCGTGAACCCATCATCTTACAACCTTTCGTTACTTTGGCGAGTTATGATCCTGATTCTTCTTCAAACAGTTCTTTAAATGATATTGATAAATTTGATGAAGCTTATTTTTCTCGTCAACTTTATATTCTTCGCAAGCAAACTACCCATATTATTACTGTTAAAAAATGGTATTACATTTGTTCCCTTTCTAACAAAAATATTATATACAAGGGTCAATTGGCTCCTGTCCAAGTCTACAATTATTTTCACGATTTGAATAATGTGGCTTATAAAACCCATTTTGCTTTGGTTCATTCTCGTTTCTCTACAAATACTTTTCCTTCTTGGGATCGTGCCCAACCTATGCGATGGTGTGCTCATAATGGTATTTATTTTTCGTTTAGATGTTCCTAAAGATGTTGCCTGAAATTACCCGTGCCTACATACATACTTGTTCTTATATGTGGAAATTCGATTAAACTGTCAACTGCTAGATGGTCGGTTGGTTTAGGGCGGCATCTTTATAACGTATATATACTAGTTCGTTTTATTTTATACAACATATATATATATATATATGTTTGGTGGATGTCTTTATTTTTTGATTATAGGCTTTGAAATAATTCAATTCCCAATTCAATTTCGATTTAAATTATAGGTGAAATAAATACTTTGAGAGGAAATAAAAATTGGATGCGTGCTCGTGAAGGAATCATGAAATCTGATTCTTTTGGTCAAGATCTCGATTTATTATATCCAATTATAGAGGAAGGTGGTTCCGATTCGGCTGCTTTTGATAATGTACTTGAGTTACTCGTCATTAAT